TGAAAACAAAAAAAAAAAAGAAAAGAAAAGCTTCATGTATAATTCGAACTCTCTCCATAGCGCAGGTTTGGTCCAAGACCAACCGCTTTAACCACTACGCTACGAAGTATATGCACTATTGACGTCTTTCAGTGTGATTTAATGGACGGGTTTGTTGAAGCGTAAATTTTATCAGAAAAGTTTGATTTTCACATAGAAAGGGTTCAGATTCCATTTTTTGGACAAATGATTCCATTTGTTGGACAAATGAAATAGATTTCACATTTACATTTCCATCATTTAAGCGTTCACGAAGAATGGAGACTTGACACATTCATGTTCAAAATTCGTTATTTATAGTTCTATTAAACCCATTTTCCACTAAATATGCTTAACTGTCAACTTTGAAATAAATATTATCAAATGATACGTCGTTCAGAAAAATAAAATAATAAAATATTTTGAAGATGACATTACTGAGAACATGATTTTAGAAAAATATAGCTTTTTGTGAATTTTGCAAATTGAAAAACATTTTGTCTCAGAGCGGTGTATTGTACACGCCTTATACGCCCTCTTTCAAAATAGACATCATTTCGGGAGTAGTTCATACTGTTTTAAAAACGTTTGACAGAAAAAAAAGCTTAGTACTCAAAAGTAACCCTTTAAAAAAAATTAGTGAAAACGACTGCGTATAAGAATATATGAACAATTATTAAAAATATCAGTAATTGTAGTTATCCACGTTTATTGGAATTTCAAACAGATAATGAAACTTGAATCTATTGCTTAAAACCCTCAAAGATGTACTTGACAAAAACAGCAAAGGTCTGAGAAGAGTAGAGAATTGCAAGAGCATAAAGATAGATTTATAGGCAATTTTCTTAAATATTAGTGTTCTTATTGTTCAAATTCGTATTCGGGGATGCAGTTTAATTTCTGGAGAAATCTAGAAAGCAATTTTTTTTGCAAAAATATCAAAAGGTTAATGAGAATCAGGAATCCACAACATTAGATTTTTTTCATGACAGCGTCCAAACCCGAAAGCCCTGAGGAGTAAAGGAGTCTAGGAGATAAACAAAACTTAATGTTCATTCACATTAACAATATTCGCCAGATCTTTCGCCTTCTGACTTGTTCCATTTGCCAAACTTGAGAAAACGCCTTTCACAAGGAAGAAACAAGTCCAGGAAATCATAGGATCTGCAATAATCCAGTATACAAAGGTTCATACCCGAAAATGAGTTCAAAAAACAATTCAAAATGAATCAGAAATTGGATAAAAAATGTTACTTACAGATGTTTCAATGAAAAGATAATTTTAGGTTAAATCATTATAACTAAATTATTGAAAAGCAACTTTTGTTTCTTTCCGAGCATCGAAGACATTATTTATTAAACGACCCTTGTATAAGGTGACCTACCGATGTACAATATCAGGTGTCCTCTGGTCCCCCTTCTGATTTTAAATAAAAGGTGACCCCTGGTCCCCCTGCTGATATACAAAGTAAAGTGGCCTCTTGTCCCTCTACTGATGTACAATATAAGGTGATCTCTGGTCCCCCTTCTGATGTTAAATATAAGGTGACCTCTGGTCCCCCTACTGATGTACAATATAATGTGACCCTTGGTACCCCTGCTGATGTACAATATAAGGTGACTTCTGGTCATCCTTCTGATGTTAAATATAAGGTGACCTCTGGTTCCCCTACTTTTGTACAATATAAAGTGACTTCTGGTCAGTCTACTGATGTTCAATATAAGGTGAACTCTGTTCCCTCTACTGATGTACAATATAAGGTGACCTCTGGTCCCCATACACTATGTACAATATAAGGTGTCCTCTGGTCCCCCTACTGATGTACAATATAAGATGTCCTCTGGTTCCCTACAGATGTATAGTATAAGGTGTCCTCTGGTCCCCTTATTGGTGTACAATATAAGGTGACCTCTGGTCCCTCTACTGATGTACTGTACAATATTAGGTGACCACTAGTCCCTGTATTAATGTAAAATATCGGGTGTCCTCTGGTCCCCGTACTGATGTACAATATAAGGTGTCCTCTGGTTCCCGTACTGATGTACAATATAAGGTTTCCTCTGGTCCCCCTACAGATGTATAGTATAAAGTGTCCTCTGGTCCCCCTATTGATATACAAAAGGTGACCTCAGGTCCTTCTGCTGATGTACAATATAAGATGATCTCTGGTCCTACTACTAATGTAAAATATAAGGTGTCCTCTGGTCCCGCTACAGATGTACAGTACAATATTAGGTGACCACTAGTCCCCGTACAATATAAGGTGACCTCTGGTCCTTCTGCTGATGTACATTATACGATGACCTCTGGTCCTACTACTGATGTACTATATAAGGTGACCTCTGGTCCCTCTACAAATGTACAGTACAATATTAGGTGACCACTAGTCCCAGTACTAATGTAAGATATCGGGTGACCTCTGGTCCCCGTACTGATGTACAATATATGGTGTCCTCTGGTCCACCTACAGATGTATAGTACATGGTGTCCTCTGCCCCCCTACTGATGTCCCCTACTGATGCACAATACCGGTATAAGGTGCCCTCTGGTCCCTTTACTGATGTACAATATAAGGTGTCCTCTGGTCTCCCTACTGGTGTACAATATAAGGTTTCCTATGGTCCCTCTACCGATGTACAGTACAATATTAGGTTACCTGTAGTCCCCCTACTGATGTACAATATAGGGTGACCTCTGGTCCCCCAAATGATGTACGATATAAGGTATCCCCAGGCCCCCCCTATTATGTGCAATAAAACATTACCTTTGGACCCCTATTGATTTACAATATAAGGTGACCACTGGTCTCCCTAATGATGTTAAATATAAGGTTGCCTCTGGTCCCCCTACTGATGTGCAATGTAAGGTGATCTTTGGTCCCCCTATTGATGTACAATATGAGGTTACCTCTGGTCACCCTTTATTACTTTCATGTTTCTGTTAATATATATTATTTGAATGTTGATCTTTATAAAGATATAAATATGATTATTTTGGAGTAAGACAAAGAAAATTGTCTATAATATAAGATTCAATTTATATATAAGGTGACCTGAGGTCTCCGTATTGATATCGATGAATTTACTTTTGTGCCTGTAATGCCTGGAGAGTTCCTAGAATGTTTTATTACTATGCAAAATGACGAACTATTTGCGGGGGACCCCAGGTCCTAGTTGAGCGTACGTTTTATCCTTCAGCACATGAAATTACAAATAGCCTTCTTGTATTTTCAAGACATCCTTACCTCTAAAAGTTTCAGCACAGACTGATGACGAATAAGTGCCGTGACGTCAGAGTTCCCTTGCTAGGTGCTACTAATATCCCCAAACTATAAATGGAACTGATAAATATTGTACAAATTGCCAAATGAACCCGATGCATTTTCGACCAAGCCAGACCACAAATATTTATTTCACTTCGATAAATAGATTTAACCTTTAGTGGTTAAATCTCATTAAAAGGGAATGGAAGGAAGTATCTCTCACCATTTTCACAAAAATGGTACGAAGACCCACTCTATATAAAAAAGTTAGTTTTCCGACTTATATTATGAAAGATAATGTATATCCGACTTCGTGGCTCAGTGGTCATAGCGGCGGTGTTGAAGCACCCAGTTATTTGTCGCGAGTGTTCGAAACACGATTTTTTGTTCAGGTTGAAATTTATAGATAAATATATTTTTTCACTAAAAGCAAAGTAAAAAAATAAGATAATGAATTTATTTACGGTCTTTTGATACATTTTCTATAATAAACAAGTTTTCAAGATAAATTACATTTTTTACATCAATTCAAGACTACATTACACAAATGAAATGTACTAAACAATCATGGGTAGACTAGCACGGTATGGCTGTTCCGTATGCAAAAACAGGTAAGGTAAAGTGTGCCATCTCCCAACCCCTGAAAACATATTCGATAGAACAATTAACACGCAGTATGTAAAGCATCACATGTTAAAAGTACTGTAGCCATAACAGCAAGGTTTACAAAGTTTAAGGTAAATCATACGACTATTCCGATGTGCTTTAAGAACTCAAAATCCGTGTGGGCATATGACTCGCCTAATCCCCCCAGATTCTTTACTGGTATATGATAACTCTTTTTTATTCGAAAACATGAATTAAATTGGTTTCATGTTATAATTTTTTTTTTCAAGTTTTTTCCAGTGCCATTAAACATTTCTCACAGTCAATGGAAATCAAATCACTTTGATAAGAGCAAACTTTGTCTAATGTTGGAATATCCTTTTATTTTACTTGGAGGATTGCCCGTACACAATCTCGGTTTTTTTTTCTAAAAAAAAAAGAAAATAAGCATTATAAAAAACATAAAGTTGGAGGATTGTTTTTTTTAAGAAATGAAAGTCTTTATCTTTTGTTCTTAATTTAAAATCTTTAAAAGAAATGAATTATATTTAGAGAATATTAAATACTATTTAGAAGAGTAATTATTTCTTTCATATTATGAATCATGTAAATTCAGATTCTAAGAGAATCTTTGCAGATCTATTTTTGTATTTATATGAAGCAGAAATTGTGCAAAATCTGCACTTGCTGTGGATTTAAAGTCGACAATTAAATATATATATTTGTTACATATTTATTAAAAAATACAGGATTTTTGCATATGTCACAATAGCTGCATCAGCAATGCAGGGCTGGTATGGATTTGCGATGCTGATACGGATCAATTTCACACCTCTTGTAAATTAAACCTCAGAAACAATACTTGTGGCATCTCTAAATTTTAACCTTTTGAATGTAAGGATAATCTCATTAAAAAATAATAGATTATTTTCAAATTACGAATCCGGCACATCTGAAATACAACTACATGCATATGTAGAAACAGACCCAAACAGTATGAGACAATAGACCTGTATATGTAAGAAGTCCGGTCATTATTATTTACTTATTTTCTTTTAAACTTAATTGTACTGTATTTCATTACTAAGTATGTAATAAGCATAAATAAACATACCCTTTTCCACATCATATTCTGTATCAGGCTTCTGGCTTGTTTTTGGTGTCTCGATGCAATTTAACCTGGTGAGCGTAAGAAACTACAGAGTCTGACAAATCTGTTTCATATTTGTATATTTTATTGAAAAAGACTTTAATGATAATCTAACAACCATGATGTATGATAAATGGGATGAGTTTAACTTTTCTATCGTCAACGTTTTTATGCAGCAATATCACTTAATTACCTACATACAGGATTTATATATCTCAGTTTATTCAATATGAAAGAGCATGCTCTACGTACAAACAATTTCTAAAACGAGGAAAATTATTGACTATTGACAAACAACTTAATGAAACATGAATTTCGGCATTCTTGTTTAAAATGATTATTTCTTATATAAGTTGCCAGCGAATACAATTAAGAAATAAATAACAAGTTTATAAATTTCAATGGGATTTTAAGTGGGTCGGTCAAGTGATCAAATCCTGTGAAGACCGAAGGCCTTCTCAGAAGATTTGATCACGTGACCGACCCACTTCAATTTCTTTTGAAGTTTATAAACTTGTTATTTATAACTTATATTTACATTTGAAATTGACAATTAAATATTAAATTAAATATATTCGGATTTAAATATTGCACAAACCGGTCGCATTAGATTTCCGTCAAAGTTACGCAAGGTGTAAATCGGCTTGAAAGGCGGTAACGCTTCGAATCCGTCGGGCTAAGAGTTCAATTTCAGAGGGAATATTTTGTTAAGTGCTACTTGTGATCCGTAGAAGGAACACGTCCGAGAATTGATCATAAAAAGTTGGAGGAATTTTGGTCGCCTGAAAGAGGTTGGATAGATCCGACGGATTGAGACACCTGTCCGAGCCAGTTAGCCTGATCAAGTATTAAATCTTATGAAAAACATTCAATTTTCAGTAACTAAAGGCATATTTATGATGTCAACACGGAGACTCTGCCGACAGTTTACATTGAAGTACGACAGCGCCGATCGAGGTTTTTATTTCTCAGCTGTTCGTGGCGTGATTGCTATGCTTTGATATTTTCCAACAGATTTACACATTTGTCGTGAGTAGAATTTAATGAAAAAATATATTTTTACCTATATCTTGCAGATTTAACTTAAGGTCTAACAAAAATAAGGGTAAACAAAAAGGTAAGAGATTCTGCAGCTGACACAAGTGACATACAACTTGTAAACAAAGGCTAGTTTCTATCGGACTGGTATATTCTCTATGTACACATGTTAAATCGATCGCCAAAAATGTATGATGTACTTGTTTACGTTGTTAATTAAACAATTAATTCACTTTCTTATTTTGTTCATTTTTATACATGAATAGCGAGTCATTTTATATTGATTAGTTACGGTAAATATTATTGCGCCGTGTGATTGGCCATGATTGACCTCTGACCTCCGACAAACTTTATACAGAATTGAAGATATTTTCTCTCTGTATGCTTATGCAATGGAAAGATACCACAAATGTATTTATTTTATGGAGCCAAATGCTCATTGACGTTTTTCATGCTAATTTTCAAATATTTATACACTGAATTGACGACGGATTTTCCCGTTATTTCCTGGTCATTACAGGGAGCACACGACGGGTCGGCAAGGGGAGGCTCACTTCTCCATAGCACCTGATCACACCTCTGATGTTTTGGAGGTCCGTGTCTGCTCTGCTCCCATTTGTATTGCTTAATGGACTTTTGAGCTTGGATACTGTTCGTTATCTCCGTTATGTTTCATTCTTATAAAAGAGCCTTATCAGGATCCGAACTACATGTATTGCAATCTGTAATCAAATAATTCTTACAATGGAATACATGTATTATATATGTATAGAAATCATATTTTAACATAACTTGATCCGAAAAGTAGTATCACGTCAAGTTCAAAGAATGAAAAAGTGTCTGTAATCAAATACATTAGAATTGAAAATGAAATATTGACACAACGATAAGAAAATCAAGATTGAAGTACAAATCGAAAGCCGAGCCAAGACAAACCTTTGGAAACATATGAAGTGGATGCTAGCAAAATAAATCTTCTAGTTTTAAGAAATAAAGCATTGATAAGAATTAATTTTGACATTTAACGATTTTCATATTTACAGATCTTGTTTATAAAAAAGTTATTTTTTCTGCGAAAACTTACTTAATACAGTTTTGATTTTTCGATTTGATTTTTTCAAGTAAAGTTGCAATTTATTGTTTGAAACCAACAACTGCTTATTGACAATTGATTGTGTTTAAAGTTAAATCTTTATTTCACTGTCAATATTATCTGGTTTTCAATTTAAAGTTATCCCTCACTGCTCAATGGCCCCGAGTGCCGAGTAAAGGTCAAAATTTGAAGCCCTTCACCGGCATACGGTGACGTCTCCATATGAGTGAAAAATTCTCGAGAGGGACCTTAAACAATATACAATCAATCAATCAATTTAAAGTTATATTTTGCTTTCTTTGTGAGAGAGGGTGTGTGAGAGTGAGTTTGTTTCCAATTGATAATTTCTTATTTTGTTTTTTATTTTTATATTTTTTATTTTAATAAATTTATTTTGTTTTGTTTATTCTACGGCTTATCGTTTTCTTTACTGCCTGCACAAAATCCAAAATAACTTCATGACAATGTATATAAAATCAGATGAGGGTATTGACAGAGTTTTCAAAATCTTTTTTCTTTGCGATTGTGTTAAAGATTATCAATGGGAAATAATTATTACTTACTCAGTAAGTGTAGTGATCCTGGATATTCCTGAAAGAAAAGCAGACAAATACTAATTTGACGTAAATGAATTTCCAATTCACAGTTATGAGTACTTTTGTTCCATTACCTTGCAACTTACAGTAAGATTATATCAAGTTTGTCTCTTTAATGTTTTTTTACATCAACACACCTTCTGAATCTTTCTCTTCTTGGCCAAAAACGTTTAAACAGGATCAAACATGTGATTATTATTATTATTGAAATAGAGGCAACTATCCATGGCACTTTGTTGATTTCTTCCCCAGCCCTTTAAAGAAAAGTATTTAAAGTGTATGAATAGTAAAACAGTAAAGTGTTAAAGAGAAAATATTTAAGATGTCCATTCTGTGTGATTTTAATTTTTTTATGTTCGCGTATTCCAGGTAATCTTAAAGGAAACTTACAATAACTCGAAGGACAACATGTAAGTGTAATAGCATATATAGTTACAATTTTTATCCAGATAAGCATGTCCGAGTATCATTATTATGAATATGCACCTGTTGTGAATACTTTTTAATTATCTTAATTCTATATATCTTGCAAAAATAAAAGCTTCTTGAAGAGTTTTTGTTCATATATACAAACGTATATATATATATATATATATATATATATATATATATATATATATATATATATATATATATATATATATATATATGTATGTAAAACTCCAAAGTGCGTTGGTGACGCCAAAGCCCGATGGTCTCGCCAAATCCCGATGGTCTGCGTCAAACCCGGATGGCTCGCTGTCTTTACGGACGCCAAAGTCCGATGGTCACGCCAAAGTCCGATGGCTCGTTTCCTATGACACGCGCGACGCTAAAGTGCGATGGTCTGACACGCCAAGGTCCGATGGTGCAGAGGAACAATCAACGTTTATGACGTCACAATAATCCGACGTCAATCCTTGACGCCGTTGTCCTGCATTCAAAAGCCATCATTTCTGAATTCGTCTTCGAATACAATTTTATTGATTTTGCTGATTGCTTGCACCTTCCAGAGATATTAGGATTAGTCCTCGCACGACAGTCGATTGATTAGGGTCAGTCCTTGCATTGCACCAACCCGAGATTTAGGGTTAGTCCTCGCACAGTTGTCGAGTAATTAGGGTTGGTCTCGCACCCACCCAAGATATCTAGGTTATAATTGATACACACTTTTTGAGCGTTTAAGGTTAGTCTCGCATCTATCCGAGAGATAAGGAATAGTTTTCGCATTTATTTATTAAAGTATACATATTTTTTAAGACCTTTGCATGGCGCGGCGTTGAGGTTTGGTGCAGTAGTATTATGACGTCATAAACGTTAATTGTTTTCTGCACCATCAGACTTTGGTGTATCAAACATCGGGGTTTGGCGCAGACCATCGGACTTTGGCGTGCCCATCCATCGGACTTTGGAGTCCCATCGCACTTTGGAGTCCTACATATATATAGAATACATGTAAGTGGTCTTTTGGGTCCGGGCTGTGAAAATTTCATTACCATCACCATCGAGAGTTACATTTATGTCAGTGAAACAGCATTTTTTGTAGGTTTTATATTGCTCTTCATTTTACCTGAATATTATTTAGTATATTATGTAGTATATTATCCTCATACCCCTCCTTTTCTTGTTCAATCTCCGGTAATGTGATTTCTTGTTCAATCTCCGGTAATGTGATTTCTTGTTCAATCTCCGGTAATGTGATATTTTCTTTTGTGTTTTGGTTTCTTCCTTTTGCGGATGAAGTTAGTGGACTTAGAGTTGTTGATATAGAAGTTCTATGATAACATTCTTCATCTGTAAAGCAGGTTAAAAAAACAACTATTATTTTAACATCAGTTAGAGAGAAAGGGCGTATGTAATTCAACGTAATTTTTGTGCTGGACCACTTATGTTTTGTCGTGTTTTAAGCATACTCATAAATTTATTTCTTACATGGTTTGTAATTAACAGTAATTATCTGATATTTATTGCCGATAATTTAATAAGCCGCCCTCGCGTCAGTTATACTGATTGAAAATAAGAGTTTAATTTTATACTACATCAAAAGATGCATTACTATCCATTTCATCTGTATGCATAAGACCACATTGCTCTTACATTTGTATACTTCGTTTGATGTGTAGTAAATTGGGCATGTTTGGCAATCAGTGTCATAGTTTGCTTGAATTGTATTCCCAAAGAAGCTGTATTCTACACAATGTCCTTTGAAGAAAAATATATTACACAAAGTCTTCATTTCATTAAGTTAACTAAATTGCAATATTGTTTGAACAAAGTAAAAAAATATTTATAACCTTAAATAATTACTTGATTTTCTATTTAGTTGTTGCAACTAAATAGAAAATCAAGTAGTTATTTAAGGTTATAAATATTTTTTTGTAAAGAATTATAAACTTTTATAACTTTCAGAAGCTGTTTGATTCTAACACAAGTAACTAAATCTAGGCAATAATAAACTTTCTTTTACATGAATGATTTTTCATACCAAATACAATGTATTTCACCGGTGCACAAACTTCTAGAGTGATATTGTTGAAGTGATTAGGAACACAGTGATAAACTAATTCCTCTGTAAAGTCTTCACTGAGTTTGCTGCAGTTTTTGTTCTCAGCCGCTATAAACCACTCCGTTGCATTCCGGGGACATGCAGGCACAAATGTTATAGTTTTTTCTACTTTCTGGCGAGCAAAAACCTTGAAATAGATACAATTAACATGCATTCAAATCAAAATAAGAAATTTTAGTATTTATTCTGTTCCCGTAATCAAAGATTTGGTGATAACAGTTTTGCCGTGTCTATCCATCTGTCTTTCTGTCTTCTGTCCGCAGAAACTTTAACCTTACCCATAACTTTTGACTGGTTGGAGCTATGGATTCCGCATTTGATTCTTTACATGTATTATATCAATGTTAAATTACCTCTTCAAGCAAAACAGTCATGAAACTGAGAAGTATCAGGAACAAAAACGCTCTTTCTCTCTGTAATCCCATAGACTTTGGCAGATTGATTGGTTTTCTACAAATTAACGATGCTATATAAAACTGTAGCAAAGTTCTTCTTTTGAGTCAGTATATGTATACTGTTAATCACAATTCGCGAAAAAACAAAAATTACGCGAGACCGTGTATATACATGTAATACTACCCCTATGGATTATAACTCCTGGTTGACTAATCAAGCTGATGTCGCGAATATATTAAATAATGTGAACTTAATTTTTTTTTAAATATATTTACCACGGATTACCACCGATTACCACCGGTCTATTTACATTACACATGTTTTTTGCAGGCAAAGTCATTAGAAATCTATTGCATTCAAAACACCATAACACGGAAAGTGTGTTGAAGTGTTAAAGCAAACGTTTTACTTTGTTGTCACAAAGTTTGAACGCCGAAGAAGTGCAACGTCATAAACAAAAATCAAACATCACCCCTGCATTGATCTTTTATTAATTGTAGCTTACAAGAAGAATACTACTTGAGGTTTAAAATAAAAATCACATTTGCAGTCAAACAGAGATTAAAAATGTCAACATAAACAATGAATCATTAATTTTTTAAAGAAATAGTCTCAAAACTGTAGCGATGTGCAAACACATTTTTATAACGCGCGTTATACAATTTGTTTGCAAACACCTATTCAGTGATGAGATATATCTTTCAAAAAAATAACAATAAGTTGCTTTGTATCGTTCGAAATGATTACCAAATCAACAAAGGAATAAAAATGACATGTTTCAAAAAATTATAATACACGAACTATTCAATGAAAGGTTATGCATGTTTGCTAAAAGATCACTATAACGACCATAGAATTTACGAAATGCCGACTTGACATGAATCTCTTTAAATCTCTGTAAATCATCCGTCAGTAGCTTGCCTTGTTGTAAAAATTAAGTAATTAATTTAATATAATTTAAAAATGAAAATTAAAAAAAACCTACCCTTAGGTGCGGTCATTTCAAAACCAAAAAAAACAAAAACAACTTGAAAATATTTATAAGCTTTTACCGTAAGTAAAGAAGTGTGATATAATTCTAATTTGACAAATTTATGGGTACATAAGACACAATTGTCTTAGGAGAATTATAATAAAAGTAATATAAATAAAAGAAATAAGGAATACTTACACACAGAGGGAAAACATGTCTTCTCGACTTAATCTTATTATATGTAATTTAATTGCCAACTCCTTGGGTGAATACATTCAGACAAAGTATGACCGAATTTTAATTCTGCGAATCGTTATTTTAACTGGAAGTCCCATAAAGTAACCTGTAGTTTTAAAAATTCATATGTCAGATCTAAATTTAGACAAACTTACCTATATTTTTGACATTTAAAAAAATGAAATCACTCTTTCCCCTCGTGATTTTCCAAGGAAGTAAATAAACACTAACTTAGTGACTAAGTATATTAAATTTTTTTCCAGGTATAAAACACGAACCTATGAGACAATTCTATTTACAATGTATTGTGCTCTCTCTCTCTCTCTCTCTCTCTCTTTGTGTGCGTGTGTGTGTAGTCCGCGTCTAATGTATTTTTATATGAATGTTTAGACTTAGATGTCCTTACTTTTACTTTTTTTTTAGTATTTTGTTATTATATATGCATGCATTATAAAAGAAATATTAGTATGCCTTTTATTTCTTTTTTCCACGAAAATATTTGAATATTTGTAGATTTCTAGATTTCGAATTCAAGGAAAATGCAATAAATTTGAATTTTAAAAGTTTAAATGGTATATCAGAATGCTCTTTGTAAAAAAAAAAGTACTGTAGTATGCATCACCCGATACAATTTTTTTAAATCATCAGACTACAATGTTAAAGAAGCAGAGTTTGTAGATTGTGACACTATTTAATTTTTGTCATAATAACAAGATTTTTAAGATTTTAAAGATTTTAAGAATAATTCATCTTTAACGAGAAACTTTTTGAGTTTCATGGTCATCAGAATATAATACACACCTGTAAAGGCGCAATTAAATGGTAAATAATTTTGTTTCAATCTAAATATATAAAAAAAAAACATGAGAAGACAAGAATCATGAATTGAATTCGAATATGCATTAAGTGATAATAAAATACACCTGCTATACCTGTATGGGCTGTCATCTTGGACGACGGGACTCTTAGATGCGGTTAAGCTACATATACACAGGCAACTTAGCCACATATGATCCACATATGAGTTTTATATGATTCTCCTTCGATTGGTTTCATATGAGAATCATAAAAAAGGGGCATCAAATATTAATCCTATGAAGCAAATCATATGATTTACATATGATCCACATATGTCAGATGATTTGCATATGAAAATTTTAAGTGTGTTTCAAGCCATTTACATATGAGAATCATATGAAAATGGAATCATATGTAAATCATATGTTACACTTATGTGTGTTCTCTTTCAATTTTCATCACAAGGAAATACACAGTTTTGTACCCATTTAAAAATAAGATATTTCTGCTTCAGATGAAAATTCATTACATTCCAATGATCTATCTTCATGTGTTAAATATTTGAAACTTGAATCTTATAATGCTTACACAACTTTTTTGATAAAATTATTTTCATCAAGAGAAATAATCTATTTTTCACAGTGTATATTCTAAACAAGAAAATATACAAACAAGTCAGTAGCATTTGTCGATACATGTATTACAAGCTAATTCAGAGAATTTGTGTCCCCCTCTTAGGGAAAAAAGAAAACCATGCGCAGTTCGGGGGTCGGGGGGGGGGGGGGGTCGGATCCCCTTGACTGAATTTGTAGAACTATTAAATGTGTACATGTATGCTAAAGCATTTAAAATATGCCAATATGGATAATTTATATAGATTTGATTCCTTATTCTTTATTATGTGTATAGCAGATTCTTTTTATATGGAATATAAACTATCTTGATCAGAATACTATATTTCCCCAAGACCTAGTAATCACAGGTGATTTCAATTTTCACGTCGACAATCGTAGTGATCCTGAGGCAAGCAGGTTGTTACAATCCCTTGATGATCGCAACCTTATACAACACGTGGACGAGCCGACCCATGTTCACGGACATATCCTAGACTTGCTTATCACACGATCATCTAGTGAAATACTACATTCACGTCCTCAAGTCAAAAATCCTTCATTGAGTGATGTGAAAGGAAACTTGTGCTGTGACCACTATGCTATACATGCAACGTTCAACTGCAGAAAGCCACAACATCAACGTAAAGAGATTACGTTTAGAAGGCTCAAGAATATCAACATACATGACATGAGTAGAGATATTAAAAATCAACTACAAGATGAATCCGCACGAAATGAGAACACGTCTGTTGACCATTTAGTACAAGGGTACAACAAATGCCTCTCGCATATTCTAAACACTCATGCACCTCTTGTTAGCAAGTCAATTCTTATAAGAGCTAACACAAAGTGGTACACAGACGAGCTCAGGACAGCGAAACAACAGAAGCGGAAAACGGAGAGACGTTGGCGTAGATCTAAACTGGAAATACACCACCCGCTATTTAAAGCAGAATGTAAGCAAACAGGCCAATTACTACACAAGGCAAAAGAAGAATTCTATTCTACTAAAATTCAGGAATGTAGACATGATCTGAAAAACTTCTTTAGGGTGACGAATTTATTGATGGGTAAGAATCAGGAGAGTCCCCTACCAACATCACCATCAGATGAAGATCTTGCAAATAGATTTTCAACGTTTTTCATAGACAAAGTAACATCCATCAGAGAGACACTTAAACAAAAAACAGAAAAAGAAGACAGCTATTTAGGCACAGACGTATACTATCATGGGCCTCTATTAGCTGCTTTTGAACGTACCACTGAAGATGAAGTACGATCACTAATAATGAAGGCACCCAGTAAATCATGCGAACTGGATCCAATTCCAACAAAGCTACTGAAAAAGTGCCTGGATCCGGTAATACCGCTTGTCACAGAAATGATTAATGCATCTCTCGATCAAGGAATTTTTCCGTCTGCTTGGAAGGAGGCCATAGTTCGTCCACTGCTTAAGAAACCTGGACTAGATAAGGAAGTGTTGAAAAACTATCGGCCCGTATCGAACTTGAGTTTTATCTCAAAAATATTGGAGAAAGTTGTGGCTCGTAGGATTGATGCCCATTTGGATGCGAATTCTCTTCGTGATCCACTTCAGTCGGCATATCGTCCCAGGCACTCCACGGAAACGGCCCTCATCAAGGTCCACAACGATATTGTGACAGCCCTAGACCAACAATCTTCAGCAGTCCTTGTCCTTCTGGATTTATCCGCTGCTTTTGATGTTATTGACCATAATATATTGTTCCAACGCCTGACTGTGTCTTATGGTTTCCGTGATGGAGCTCTTGAGTGGATCAAGTCTTACCTCAAGAACAGAAGACAATGTGTAACAATTGGATCCGTCCGATCAGAGTCTAGACAGCTGCCTTTTGGTGTCCCCCAAGGATCTGTACTCGGACCGAAATTGTATTGCCTCTTCTCCAAACCCACTGGAATCATATGCCACCGCCATGGAATGATATATCACTGCTATGCAGACGATACACAAATCTACATGATCATAAGACCACTGGAAAATTGGAACAATTACTTCTCTCGACTTGAAGCGTGTCTTAGTGAAATTGGCTCATGGATGACATCAAACCTACTCAAACTAAACCAAGAAAAGACCGAGCTAATAATCTTCTCCACAAAGCAACATCAGAAATATCTGCCAACATTACAACTAAAAGTTGGTGATAATATCATTGAAAGCGTGCCATGTGTAAAAAATCTAGGTGCATTTTTCGATCAACACCTTACTATGGAAAAACAGGTATCCTCGGTCGTCAAGTCATGCTATTTTCAAATAAGCAATATTGGACGAATACGGCGCTTTCTTACAAAAGAAGCCTGCAAGACCATGGTGAATGCCGTTATCACAGCCAGGCTGGACTATGGGAACTGCCTTCTATATGGAGTGTCGAAGGCCT